GGAGAAATAATAATGTAGCTTGTGTTTACCTGACCTAGCCCACCACTGAAAGGCTGGAGAGGCTGAGATAGACAATCAGATTCTTTGGGGAATGAATGGGCTCTTAATTGTGGTCATCTAGTCATTGGATTCCCTAATTAGACTGAATGTGTTTAAACTAGCTTCAAGCTTTATCCTTAGAGGTTCTTTTCAAATTCTAAGGCAGGCTAGGGATTTTGAGAAGCAAAATGTAGAAGGACAATCAGTGATGTAAAAAGATTTTGGCGAAAATCACCCCTTTGTAAGTTTTGGTTTTGTTTTTTTTCAGTGTACCATTTGTGCTGTCCTGGCACGTAGTCTAACTAGACAGTGTAATTGCTTTAAATTCATCAAGTTCTCAAGTTGTGGTTAAAGATTCATCAGTATTTGCATTTCAATGTAGGAGCAAGATCTTAATTCTTCCCTGTTTTAAGTGAAACCTTCCTAAAATGCCAACTCTAATGTCAACCCTAATCTGCTGTAGCTTCCAAAAGTCATGTACAGAATTCATGCTTTTAAGAATTATTCTGCATCAATTCAATTGCTTATTTACTTTTAATTAATTAATTAACTTATATGCAGTGCTAGGGATTGAACCCAGGGACCTGCACAAGCTATGCAAATACCTTACCACTGAGCTACATCCCTAGTCCTAATTTTTTTTGAGATAGGGTCTCACTATGTAGCTCAGACTGGGCTCAAACTTGTGATCCTCCTGCCTCTGCCTTTTGAGTGCTGGAATTACAAAGTGTGCCCCACCACGTTCCACTAAATCCATTTTTAACTGATACATAAAAACAAAAATGTACATACTAATGGGATAATGTGATGTTTTGAAATATGTATGCATTATGTAATGTTTAAGTCTGGTTCAACATACCTCCTCAAGCATTTATTTATGTGAAGACTTTCAACATAAATAAATTTCTTTATGTTGAAAATGTTCAAAATCCTTTCTTCTAACTTTTTGAAAAGTACACTTCACTATCTATCTATATCCACCCTACTGTTGACTAGCACTTCAGAATCTCTTACTCCAATGTAACTCTAACTTAGTACACTTTGCTCCATATCTCCCCATCCCTCACTTCCCCACCCCACTCCCTTCTTTTCCCAGCCTCTGGAAACCAGCATTTACTCTCAACTTCTATGAGATCAGTTTTTTAAGATTCCACATCATGTGGTACTTATCTTTCTGTGTCTGGCTTATTTCACTTAACATAATAACTTCAGGTTCCATCCATCTCCCCAATCCTGTCACAAGTGACAGGGTTTCTTTTTTTTTTTTTTAGTGGCCAAATAAGATTCCATTGTGTATGTATGTCATATTTTCTTTATTCATTCATCATTTGATGGACACTTAGGTCATTTCTATTTCTTGGCTGTTGTAAATAGTACTGTGATAAAGATGGGAGTACAGATGTCTCTTTGACATACTGAGTGTACTTCCTTTGGATAAATACCAAAAAGTAGGATTGTTGGATCATATTGTAGCTCTGTATTTATTGTTTTAATTTTTTTTTTTTGAGACAGGGTCTCATTATGTACCAAGGCTGGCCTCAGACTCATGATCCTTCTATGTCAGCTTCCTAGGAGCTGGGATTACCACCACCTTGACCAGTTCTGTTTTCAGTTTTTTGAGAAACTCCATACTTTTTTCATAGTATGTATGTATTATTTCATAGTCAGAATTTATTATTTTATAATTTGGTGTGTGTGTGTACTGTGGGGTAGATTGAACCCAGGGCCTGTGCAAGCTAAGCTCTACCACTGAACTATTCCCCCAGCCCCTCAGAATTTATTCTTTAATAGAAAGATAGGTAAAATAAAAATTATAAACTAACCTTTCCTTTTAAAGCTGACCTTATGTAAAAAAAAAAAAAAAAGCAACAGCCAAAGAATACATCTGTGTATTCTTTACACTAACTCAGGCTCCTTTTAAGTTTAGAAAAGCTTGAGTTTGGTAATTAGGTCTCAAGAAGGATGAGTATAAAAAAATGAAAGAAAACAAATAGGACTTTTAGGATATTGAAGGTATTTTGGAGTGCCATTTTGTTATCTGGCTGTTTGAAGGCTCTGGCTTTGTTATCTAGTAAATCTGGGTTCAAATTGACCTTGACACATTACTTAACTTAAGACTCAAATCTACAAAATGAGAGAACAATGGTATATCTTTCTCATTGAATTACTTGAGGTAATACATATAAAGCATTCAACACAGTATCTGGCACATAGTGAATAAAATTATTTATGTAATATTATTATTGTTCTCATACTATTTAAACTATAATTACCCATTCTGAATATTTAGGAGTACACATCTTTATTATGTTTGAATTTTCTTTTTTAAACATGTGTATAGTCTGTATCCAAGCTTACATGTTTAGATTCTACTTCCCACAGTAGGAAATTATTACTGTAATAAATACGGGTACCTGTCAAACATATTAAATCAGTGATGTGAATTAATCAGTATAAATCATGGGTCTACTTCTGTCAAAAATAAATACATACTTTCATGTCCAAATAATCTCCAAATAAATCATACACCAAATATTTATTTTAACCCTACAAGCAGAGGTGGAATGCAATCTTTGGACTGTCTGATGATGCATTTGCTTTGTGGTGATGTAATCCCACCAGGACACTAGGAGGCAGGATGGACCTGATCCACAGTGCTTTCCAAGTCTTCTCCAAATTTCATCCCTGGTGTCAAATGTAATTATTTTTTAGTGCTGGGAATTGAACTCTAGGGCTTGGACATGCTAGGCAGGTGCTCAACCACTGAGCTACATTCTCTGGTGACTGTTTCATCCTCCAACGGCTGCCCCCAACATCCTGTGTCTTCAGCCCTGGTATGGTGTCTCAGACACTAATCCTAGGAGATTTAAGAGAAAAATCAGTCTGATCTAGTTCTGTCTACAGCTCTGTACATTCTCTGTATCAGTCAGGCTGCAGACAGGGAGGTCAGTGTGTGTTACTTCCCAGTACCTCAGTTCTAGCTGGTGTGAGAAGGTGGGTAAATGCCTGAGTAAATGCTGGGTAGAAGGTAGAGATTGAGAGACTTCAGAGAAGGAGCCCAGGCCTTTGTGTGACAAGGCTGGGGGTCTGAGTTGCCTGGGAGAGAACTTATTCTTTTTTTTTTTTTTTTATATGAGAGCCTTTCTCCCTTACAGAAAAGTTAGGATGTGATGACACAAGAAGTTCATCTGCTCATTAGGGACATGAATCCCATAGATTGGCTGAATGTGATCACAGGCAGGATGGTTTTCTCTTTGGGTTAAGCAGTACTTATATTTCCAGGTCAAGTTCAGCTTTTTAGTAAAGAGAATTGCCACACTGGCTATTTGTTAACCCTTCTTGCTGTTCTTCTAAAAGAAAATCTCTTTAGATAGTGTTTGGACTGGGACGATATATTAGCAAGGACCCTGGGCAGTGAAAAGAAGAACGTGGAAGATACAGGATCAGAAGAAATGGTTATATATGTCTGAATTACTGAGCTCTCAGTGTGTGGCCATGTTGTGGAATTAGGATGACCATAGCAGAAACTGGGTGCAAATCCAGGAATCTATAGTGGGTAGCTAAGTTGCTGGTGAGGTAAATGAGGGTATGTTTATTACAACGGGTTTGCTTTTAAAACTTCCTACCATAAAATTAAATTTTTATTCTAAATACCTAATTTTCTTGTCTGTGGTAGTAAAAGTCAAGCTAAGAAATGTGAAATTTTTGTTAGTGGTTATTCACATATTCAGGCTGTTAATAATAAGTGATATCCTTTGTTTAATATATTTATTACTTAAAAAGATGGGAGGTGAAAAAATTCCTGTCCTGCTGAGTGTTTGCAGCTGAGCCATTCAGTTTCTTCAAATGTCACCTGTGTGGCATAGGGTCAGGGAACTGTGGTTGTCTTACATCAGCTCAGAGAATTATCTAGTGTGAGTACTTCAGGCACTCTTCCTAGGTGGCTGCTGACTGTAAAACCACACCGAGCCCTTGGGTGCAGGCTTTACAACAGTTGGGGTGGTTGCTGTGAGGCCCAGGAAGGTTTATATCTACTACACTGTTCTCACAGGAGTTAAATTTCACAGGGTAAGCCAGACATAAAGGCAGCATGCCTCTGAATCTTATCCAGATATCTTAATGAAGCCATTGGCCACTCTTACTGGGTGAACTCATCCTCAGTTGAGAATCTGGGTTAAATGCTAACTTCCTTACACTTGAAGAGTATCTTTTTTTTTTTTCTAAGAATCCTCTTAATAAAATGATCAGCAGCGCTCAATCAAATATTCTTAGAATTTGAAAATCTTATCAGAAGTCTACTGATTTCTAAATTACTGTATATTAAGATGATCATGTGACTTCATGCCAGTTAATTTTGAATCTCAGAAGATGTGTTCCTTAAAATGTGTGAATAAATTGATTTTACATGAATTTAGCCACATTTAACATGCACATAGAGAATTTGCTACTGAGTAAAATCCTATTTAATATTAAAGGAGAGAGGGTTTTGGTAGTAAAATGAACAGGTCTTTTTTTTTTTTTTCATTTTTCTTTTATTATTCATATGTGCATACAAGACTTGGTTCATTTCTCCCCCCTGCCCTCACCCCCTCCCTTACCACCCACTCTACCCCTCCCTCTCCCCCCCACCCCAATACCCAGCAGAAACTATTTTGCCCTTATTTCTAATTTTGTTGTAGAGAGAGTATAAGCAATAATAGGAAGGAACAAGGGTTTTTGCTGGTTGAGATAAGGATAGCTATACAGGGCATTGACTCACATTGATTTCCTGTGCGTGGGTGTTACCTTCTAGGTTAATTCTTTTTGATCTAACCTTTTCTCTAGTACCTTGAACAGGTCTTTTTGAAGGTATAAATTAATATTTAAACATCAAAGTAGTTTAGTATCACTTGCATTTGAACCTTGGTAAATTCATTCTAGTTTGGAGATTACACAGCATCTGGATGGTCTTTGTTTTGCAGCAGTCTCTGGTTCCAGCTCACCCCATGGCCCCTCCCAGTCCCAGCACCACCAGCAGTAATAACAACAGTAGCAGCAGTAGCAATTCAGGATGGGATCAACTAAGCAAAACAAACCTCTACATCCGAGGCCTACCCCCCAACACCACCGACCAGGACCTGGTGAAACTCTGTCAACCGTAAGTATACTTGTTCCTGTTGCTTTAGCTAGTAGATATTTCCTTGATCATATTATGGATAGTATAAATTGTGTCATAGGAAGAGCTTATAAGATAAATCCATGGACTGTGTCAATATTGCTACAGTGAATTTCCAAGTTTTAAGTCCTTGGACATTTATTCAGTTAGTATGAACATCAGTCAAATGCATACATGACAAAATAAATTGGAGCATATTCTCAATTGAATTTGACTTTATTAGCATATGAGAAGTAAAATATGAATTTTTAACAAATTTATGGATCCTTTTCAGGAGTGTTCATCTTTCATGGAAGCTCCTGTAGGAACCAGTCAATCCCATAGAGAAACTTTAGCTGTCATTATTTGTCAGAAAGGAAGTTAACCATTTAACCCCATCTTATATGTGTGTAAAGTTCTTAATTCCTGCTAATACAGTGTTAGTCCATCTTCATGAGCACCTGTAATTTTGTAGTCCAAGTTGTTTACCCTCGTCTCTTTAGAAATAAGAACTCACTTGCACTTTCTGTATCTTATGAAGAAATGCATGTGTGTGCATAAAATTCCAAAGTAAATTTGCATTGTATGCTAATGTTGTCAGTGAATAGAATAAAAGTTTGCTACTTTACTGCAATTACATTAACTCAGGTAAGTAAGAAAGCACTAATTTATTTTTTTTTTTTCATTTTTCTTTTATTATTCATATGTGCATACAAGGCTTGGTTCATTTCTCCCCCCTGCCCCCACCCCCTCCCTTACCACCCACTCTGCCCCCTCCCTCTCCTCCCCCCCCCAATACCCAGCAGAAACTATTTTGCCCTTATTTCTAATTTTGTTGTAGAGAGAGTATAAGCAATAATAGGAAGGAACAAGGGTTTTTGCTGGTTGAGATAAGGATAGCTATACAGGGCATTGACTCACATTGATTTCCTGTGCGTGGGTGTTACCTTCTAGGTTAATTCTTTTTGATCTAACCTTTTCTCTAGTACTTGTTCCCCTTTTCCTATTGGCCTCAGTTGCTGAAAGCACTAATTTAAACGAAGGAGTCAGAAGCACTGAAGAGTGCAAAGATCATTGTGGAAAGACTAAAAGCATCAAATTGCATTGAGCAATAAATGCCTACACCTATAACAGCACTTTTTTTTTATCCTAAGACAGCAATGGTCCTTTGTAAAAGGAAATTTTGCGCAACTATAGAAGACTTCTATTAGAGACTGTTTCTTATTCACTGTAAGATATTCCCACTTCAAAACATCCTATTGATAGCATCTCATTTCTCTTGTCCCGGGTAAAGTCTAGATTTATAATTTTTTATAAGGGAAAAAATTCAAAGCTAACTTGGGCAATATTTCCAAACTGGGACTAAAAGTAACATCTGGCCTTCCATAAGGAGGTGGTGGTTGTTTTGCTTTGTTTTGTTTTGAGAGAGGAAGGGTGGGGCAGTAAGTGGTGGCCCTTTAGGATCTGGAGAGCTTGTAAAAGGCCATCACTCTCAGCCCTCTCCCTGTGTCTTTCCCCTGGCTCCCTTTTTGATCAATATTCTTGGACTTTTGACTTTAGCACTTGGCTCCCAGGGAAGTGAAATCATGCCCTGCACTGGGGTCTGTTGTGAAAGGAAGTCCAGCTCTTGGGGTTTGTCATGCCTGGCCAGAGGCAGCAGGGAACCCTGCCAGGCGCGCCCTGCCCTATTGCAGCTGTTCAAGACCACAAATAGGCCTTTTGCTATCTTGTCTGCTGCTGGCCTTTCATTGGCGTCCTCTTATGCTTCTGCAGCATAATTACAGGTAGATAGAGCGCCATAAAGTCTAAGGAGCTAAAAATACAATTTTGTAGGGAACAAAAAAATGAAGCTAACTCTCAAATTCTTGAGGTATTAGAGAAGGGGAGAGAATTTCAAAAGGCAGATTGTTCCTCAGCTTGTTTTAAATTATGTAAGGAGAGTATTGATGTCAGGGAGCCCATTAAGGGGTAGTAAAATAATAGAATAGTGCCATGCTTTATCTGCAGTAAGTATGTTCTTGAAAAATTGAGCTAGTGATTTTTTTTTATTGAATGAAATCATATTCCAAACAGAAGCACATTGTATCATTTTTCTTAGAGTATTTATTCCCTTTTTGTTGTTGGTCTTTTTGGTGTGTATGGATTTTCTTAATGTGTGTAAACATTTCTCTCTTTGCTCTTTGCTCTTGTCAGTAGCAGTAATAACTGTTTGCTACCCTCACTTCTCTCCTGTCCATTGAGAAGGAAGGTTCTTGCAAGATCCCAGGTTGAATATTAAATGCTGATGATAGTTTTCTTGATAGGTATCTTACAGAGGCAAGACCATAACAATAATAGGGGTACTATCTCAGAATCTTCTGGAAGATTTATTCCACTTAACACAGAGAATCTAATAAATTCCAAATTTGACTTGATTATAGTTTTGTGTCTTAGAATTTAGAGAAAGCCAAAAAAGGGCATTCCTGTTCTGGGCTTTTAATTGTTTCCAATAAAGAATAGCTAGTGGGTGACATCGAAATGACAAGAATCTTACAGAAAAGTGACACATTCTAGGGCTTAAAAAAACCTAGTAGCCATATTTAGAGATTTTTGAAAAGTAGGTATCAGAAATTTCTCAGAAAAGGTAGGTATAAATCCATACATATAAAAAGGAAAAAAATTAAACTGAAAATTTAGCACTTTAATTACACATTGACCCGATGAGGCTAAATCGGGGGAGGGAGCAACAATTGAAACAAATGATTTGGCTCTATTGGAGGCTTGGATCCTTTTTGAGGGTTATCTAACAGAAAGAATGTTTTCGGTGATGACCGAGTTCCATACAAAGTGTGTGGAGTATAAAGACAAGTATAGCCTGAAGATTTTAAAAACTGAGGAGGAAATTTAAAAAAACATATTGCTGTGTTTGAAGTAGAGCATAGAGATGCTAGAACGTAAAACATGACAGTGAAAAGGCAGGTGTGATATTAAAGATATGACAATAAAAGAAAATGAGCCTCGCACACTTGGAGGGACTGTAATACTGTAAGGGTGTATGGATGGTAGGGGAATCAGTCTGGAAGGCTCAGTGACAAGGACCAAACTACGGTCACAGGGGTAATGATCAAGTGTTGTGGATTGAAAGTAGATAAAAATTTTAGGCACACTTAATGAAAAAAGCCACCAAACCCCAGTTAATTTCTAAATTGTGAAATGTGTGCAGGAATTCTGGAGATCTTGTGAATATCCAGACTTGGAGCTTTGTTCTGCATTTCTAGAAGGTCCTTTACTCAAAAAGAGCACATCAGTGCAGGTATCCAGTATGTTTAGGAGGTGGAGTAGAGGCTGGGTGGCAAAAAGGAATAATCTGTCACCCCTTGATCTTCAGATATTATTAATTCTTTATTTTCTGAAATCAAGCCAAGTGAATACTCTACTTGACTGTGCTTATTTGTGTATTTGTCATATAAACATTTTTCAATTAAATATTTCTCTCATTCAGACTTCTCAAGCAAAATTCTAAACAGATAAATTAAGGATTCTCATTACTTCTGTTTCCCTGCCACACTACCCATTGGTATTTTGTCTTCAGGTTTTCAAGTGAAACTACACTGGAATCAAAAATGTCCCATATTTTATCTAGCTTTTTTTCACTATTGTCCACCTTTCCTCCCCAACTCTTTGCCCTTTAATTTCTGGTTTTTTTGGCTGGTTACTCTGTAGGGCCATCGTCTCATAGGGTTGTACTCTGCCTTTTCCAATTTTCTATATATTTTCCACTTGAATATTTTAGTGAGTCTCAGACATTATCTCCTTCCTCTCAAAACTGTCACTTTTCCAAATTGACTCCTCAGTGTAAAGCTTTGGATCAGTCATTGACCACTTTCCTTTCCTTTAGTCACCAAGTCCTATAGATTCTTTCTTCTCAAGGCAGGAAGCATTGGGTGTTTTCTTCCTTGCTCCTTATGGTGTAATAGGAGAAAATGATTTGCTGTGGCTGCCACCTCACCTCAAGCACCTTCCCATTCCCCCTTCCTGATTCTGCAAGGCCAAGTCCAAGTTCTGCATGCCTCTATCATGCTTGGGCCATCACACTAATAACTCAGCTCCTTATTTTCTTATTTATCACCATCTCACAATCTGCATCTTATTTCCATATTTTTTTGCTCAGTAAAGTGCCATTGTGTTGTTTAGCAGCATTTCTGAGATATGTAGCATGCTAACAGCAGACCATCATCACAGATTTCTCCCCTGGATTATAATCTCATCCTAGTCAGAATTGCTAGTTTTTGAAATCCCAATGTTATCTACCACAGTGCTAGGTAAATAATTTTCAGTCCAAACATGATGCTTTTGTAAAAGCTCGTGATCAAAATTAAATCATATTCAGGTTAAGTATCCCTATTAGAAGTGTTTCGGACCAGAAGTAGTTTAGATTTCAGAGTTTGAATTATTTGCTTATTATATAATTAGCTGTCTTAGGGGAGGGGACCCAAGTCTATACACAGAATCCATTTATGTTTCATACATACCTTATACACATAGCATGAAAGTAATTTTATACAGTATTTTTAGCATATCTGCATTTTAACTGCAACCCATCATGTGCAGATAGATGTGGGATTTTCTACTTTTGGTATAATGTAGGTATGCAGAAATTTTGGATTTGGGGAGTTTTTGATTAAGGATGGTCACTGTAATATGAACTGGTCCACTTCTTAGAACACAGTTGTCACTGAACAATATTAATCCTTCTTTGCATCTCCAAATGTAGCTACTAGAGTAAGCTTAAATTATATTTAACCCTACATTTAAAGCTAAATAGAAAACTCCTCCATCAGATTCTGTTATTGACAGCTGTGAAAGCCCAGGAAATAGTTTGTTTTAATATAACTTAATGCCTCCTTTCCCTGGAGGCTTTTGTCTAATGCTTGCAAAAGGCTAGTTTCAGCATCTTGTAACCCACTCCTGATTCATTACTATGGCATATAAAACCATCCATTGTGTTCAAACTCTCTTTTGAA